GTCTAATCTCTTCAATTTTACTGTATCCAAGCTCATTCTAAGGACGTCAAAAACCCAATCGATTTTGTGGGTTTTTTAAAGTATTCTTACCAAATTATTTTCCTTTGTGCAGCTGTTTTTATTTTTGTTTTAGTACCTCTGCTTTTTCTTTTTTAAGATTTTATTTATTTATTGAGAGAGAGAGAAAGCAAGAGCACCCAAGCATGTGAGTAGGGGGAGGGGCAGAGGGAGAGGAGAGAGAAAATCTGCACTGAGCTCAGAGTCTGACACAGGGCTCCATCCCATGACCTGAGCCGAAAATCAAGAGGCAGACCCTTAACCGACTAAGCCACCCAGGCGCCCCAGCACCTCTGCTTTTAAAAAACAATCCTGAGTACTTTTTTGGATCGTTAATCATATTTGTACGTTTCACAGAGCATTATCCCCATCTGTCTTGTGATATTGAAAATGCAGGAAGAGAAAAAAAGCACTATTTCTCTAAAGAAATCTAATTTTACAATTTATGTCTGACCTCTAATGATGTACATTTTCTATACCTACTGTCTCTTAGACAGCGGTGTATCTCAGAAAATTTAGATAGAAGTAATCTTCCTGTTCAGATAGAATTGACTAGGGAACTCAGGAGCAGGAATTAAGCATACTCTACTTTCCCCTTCCAGGGCCTTCTTTCTTTCTCTTTCTCTTTCATAATGGCTTTTCCTCAAGAAACACATTTTCTCCTCCATCAAGCTGTGAGTTTATAGGGGCACGCTCTGTCCCCAAAGCTGGAGTGGGTGGGGAATGGAGCTGTGGTCATCCAATTTTGGCTATGGATAGTAATTTAAATCTAGAATGAAATTAGAAAAATCCATTTAGCCTCAGATCCCAACCATAGTTCCTATTAAACCTTATCTGTAACAAGCTGATATACTGATAATACCGATAGGCATTTGCCAATGCTTGTGTCTTAGTTCTCAATAAATTCTGAAATTTGGAGGTAAGGAAAATAGTGTAACTTAATATTAGCCCCCTCAGATGCCATCATATATTATTAATAATTTCTTTTTTCTAACTATTGACACTGACATGGCTTTATTTTCATAATTATCATGAGGTACATATTGTAAAAATACAGTGCTTCTGTTAATGATCTTCAATGGAGAAAGTTTAAAAAGTTGCAAACAGAACCAATCAGCATATAATAGAAAAATAAGAAGACTCAGTCTTCAAAAGAATAGTTTAAATAATTATATTAAAATAGTTAAAAATAAATTAAGAATATTTGTATTTAATACTTAGGTAAAGATAGTTATAATAATGTGAGAGTGAAGACATGAGAGGAAAGAAAGAAAAGAAAGAAAGAAAGAGAGAAAGAGAGAGAGAAAGAGAGAAAGAGAGAAAGAGAGAAAAAGAGAGAAAGAGAGAAAGAGAAAGAGAGAAAGAGAGAAAGAGAAAGAGAGAGAGAAAGAGAAAAAAGAGAGAAGAAAGGAAGAAAGGGAGGGAGGGATGGAGGAAAAGGAAGGAAGAGAAAGGAAGAAAGGAAAAGAAGGAAGGAAAGGAAAGGAAGGAAGAAAAAGGAAGGAAGGAAATGAAGAGGAAAGAAGGAAATGAAGAGGAAAGAAGGAAATGAAGAGGAAAGAAGGAAATGAAGAGGAAAGAAGGAAGAGGAAGGGAGGAAGGAAACCTACAATAAAAGGACTGTCCTGGGGGGATCCCAAGAACATGGGAGAATTCACAGATTTAAGGAATCAACCAGTTCTAAGGACACGAACGTCCACCTGGCAATCCAGGCTCCCAGAAGCACTTTCACAGAGAAGACACTGCCTCCAGGCCTCCTGGACGAGAACAGGGAGCAGATTCCCTGTGGAATCCACGTTTCTCCAGAGAGAAGACATCTGCATGCCGTGCAGTCACGCTTCATAACTGATGCAGTAGGTGAGCCCACACAAGATCTTTTCCTCTTTCAAGCGCGTATCGTGGAGTTAATAGAGAAAAAGCTGGATGCCGGAGCGGCAGGGAATCAAAACCAGGCAATTAAGAGGCCCCTCTTTGGATGTTGTTTACACCCCGCCCTGTTTTGTCAATTACCGCAATTCTTCAGTGGAAGGAGGTAACTCATTGGCCACAGCTGAGCCTGTGGAATAATGGGTCTGATACCCAGTTAAGACTAGAAAGTCAACGCCAAGGACGTCAGGACATCGAACCAGTACCGCAGAGAAGGGGAAAACAGCTTTCCACTAGGCCAACGAGATGAATACAAAAGTAGACTTCTGAATGGAAAATGCCTGAAGGGAATAAAGACAAGCTTCAAGATGCCGGTCATTGATCCTGGGGTCCCGGGATCGAGTCCCGCATCGGGCTCCCTGCTCGGCGGGGAGTCTGCTTCTCGCTCTGGCCCTCCTCCCTCTCATGCTCTCTGTCTCTCATTCTCTCTCTCTCAAATAAAAAAAAAAAAAAAAAAAAGATGCCGGTCATTGAACTTTATGAGATCAGAGACATCAGCGCCTAGTAATCTAAGAAGTCACCCAGAAACTGAGAATTGAGAAAGGTTTGGTCCTAGGTATACTTGTAAACAAAGATAGCCCTACAGACTCAGAGCTATAGCTCCAGACAAACAGGACCCAAGTCCAGAGCCTTTGATTGTGCAGTTCTTTCAGACATCATCGGCTGCCCTGACACATCAACACCTGATCGGATTTTCGTGAAGAATCCTGAGAGTCAAAAACACTTGCTCTGGGAAAAGGAATTGGGATATGCATGGAAGGTCAGGAACATATTTATCTCTGCGTTGTAATGAGCTTTTAGATATAGCTTTATATAGAAAACATCAGATTTTAAAACTTAGGAAATGGAGAGCATTGATAAAAATTTAAAATTAAGTGAAAAAATACTTTTTTTCTTTACGAAATCCTTATATTACCACAGATCCATGTAAATGCAGCGTCAGTAACACCTGGGAAATGTTAGAAATGCAAATTCTTCTGCTCCACCCCAGATCTATTGGATTAGTATCTTTAGGGTGGGACCCAGCAGTCTGTGGGGTAACAAGCCCTCCAGGTGATTCTGATAAACACTGAAGTTTGAAAACCACTGGTGAAGACTATAAAGAAATGAAATAAACAGAAGTTGGAAATTTAAAAGAAGTAAAACCTTTACATGGTCACATGGTAATGCTGATACCTTTGATATTAATTAAAGATGGGAGTTGAAAAGTGAAAAATCAACAAGGATTTTTATGAAGCCAGAATTTTTTTGAAAAATATTTTAAATGTGTTCTACCTAGGAAATAATGGAACCGGTATTATATTGCGCTACATTATAATGTATTGTTTATTATTTCTGTTTATCTACTCTTGTAAGAAATCAGTAAAATTTACAAAAGTAGCAAGTTCCCCTTACGAAACTAAACTACATGAAGAGAAAATCAAATATAAACTCTTATTTGATAAGAAAATATCAGGCTTAGAGGGCGCCTGGGTGGCTCAGTTGGTTAAGCGACTGCCTTCAGCTCAGTTCATGATCCCAGGGTCCTGGGATCGAGTCCCGCATCGGGCTCCCTGCTCTGCGGGGAGCCTGCTTCTCCCTCTCCCACTCCCACTCCCCCTGCTTGTGTTCCTTCTCTCGCTGTGTCTCTCTCTGTCAAATAAATAAATAAAATCTTAAAAAAAAAAAAAAAGAAAATCAGGCTTGGGAAGAGCACAGAACAGGAAGCAGACAGCTGGACTGAGCAACATACTGAGTTCAGTGAACAAACCAAATTAAATCAGAAGTCTCAGACATCCAACCTCTAGCTTACAAAATGAATGAAATTAAAGTGTGAATAATTGCACGTTACTGATGACAGGGCTTGCTACTGCCTCTGAATCTAAGGGCATATCTAATAAGAAAGGAAATGGCTAAAGATGGAATAAATTCAGCCAACTAGCAGACCACTGGTGTGAGAAAATTGAAAATGATGGATGTCTCACAGATAAAAACTATAGTAACAAGAGTGGAAGATAGAGGCTCTTGACAACCCAGGCTGAATCATGAGCTGTCATTTAGAGATGAGCTGAAAAACAGAAAAATCATTTGGCAAATGATAATTTTCCCCTTTTGATGAAAAAAGAAATGCGAAACCTTGCCATAAGAAGTGGGGGGTCCTTAAGGAAATCCGTGAGCAAACAGGCATGACTTTGAAATAACCGGAATCAAGAAGAACATATGCTGGAACAGGAGGCGGGGAGGTCCTAAGACAGAGTCGAGCAGAGTTAAAGGCAGAGAATTTGAGAAATGGAGAGTGAATTGCAGAAGACAAAGAGATTCTACTGAAACTGTATTGCTCGTCCTCTGTGGGCAATCGTGCATATGGCTCACTGCTTCTCACACCTCCAGAACTGTGCAGCACAGAAGACTAGACTCTTTCCTGCTCATATAACTTGATTAATTGACAAATGATATAAAGCCAAGTGCAATGAAAATATAATGCTTTTCAATTTTAAACAAAAAGAAAAGAACTATCCCTATACATTTTTCACTCACATGTTATTAGTTTATTACTAAGGACACCAATTTGGGGGCGAGCCTGTGGATAAATCTGATATATTTTAAAATAAATATTTGATGATAATGACAGAAAAGCCCCCAAAGGAAGGAAGGGAGTAAATGAAAGGCAGAGAAGGAGAGAGGCAAACAAATTTAGATTTAGTGAAAGGAAGAAAATGTCTGTACAAAGGAACGACGGGAGATTTGGGAGTAGCTCTTCCTTTTATCACCAGATCTAAAGGACCTGGATCAGGATGGGACAACCAGACCTTCCCTTCCCACCAAGGGGGACAGTGAGATACAGACCACTATTTGAACAGAGACTTGGAAAACTTCTTACAAAATCTGGAAAAAAAAAAAGGATAAATAAGGAACTTTATCAAAAAATTTAGCTCACGTATAGCCCTATTCTGCGAGGTACCACTTTTTTGCAATTTGCCATCTTTCCTTCCAGTATTTTTCTAAGCATAACCACAGTGGGACAATGCTATACTTACATGTATGGAGGAGCAGTGATGTACCTGGAAAATTCTCCCCGATGGTAGTAGTTTCTTCTTGAGTCCATCTTACTGGCCAGCTCTTACTCAGCTGACCTGGATCCAGCTTGTTTTGCTGCAGTGAGGACGGTAAGTAGTCAAGTGAGGGATGGAAGCTGTTCTGATTCTTTTCATTAACTCACCTCACCTGGAAACAAATATCATGAATAATTTGTGAACTCTGTTCATTTCCCCTTACCCAACTTGTATTCAGATTCCAGTAAAACATAGTTTTAGCTTCTGCCAAATTATAAAATATTTTAACACCTCGTGGGGACTCGTGTACTTTTATTCATTTTCTTAGAAATTGCCCTGTGTATTTTCACTTGTTAATTTATTTTCAAATAAATTTAGGTATCATTTTATCTCCAAATAAAAATAATCTCTTCTCATTTTATTTGTTACCGCATTAGGGAGATTTATTAAGAAAGCTATAAATACTGAATATTCTTATCTAGGAACAAGGCCTGTTTTTGTCTTTGCTTTCATCTGAGTCTCTTGTATTCCCTTCATTGGAGTTTTACAGTTATCTTTATCCTGGTAGTTCACAAGTACTGCTAAATGTATTTGTAGGTAAGTTATTTTTATTTTTATTATGACAATCTTTTACTCTATTTGTTTTCTTTCCAGTTACTTATTTATATAAAGAATGCTATCTTGGGGGGATGCCTGGGTGGTTCAGTCTGTTGAGCATCTGGCTCTTGATTTCAGCTCAGGTCATGATCTGGAATCAAGCCCCTTGTCTTGCTCCCCGCTGAGCGGGGAGTCTGCTTGTCTCCCTCTCACTCTGCCCCTCCCCCCACTCACGTTTCTTCTAAGATAAATAAATAAATCTTAAAAAATAAATAAATAAATCTCACCAAGCACATTAATCACACCTGATAGTTTTTGCTGTTGTTTCCTAAATAACTTCTCAATTCTGTAATCCTTTTAATATTTCTACAGTTGGGAAACATGCTCCCAAGTTTTTCATGTGTGCAATGGTAATATCTGCAAAAGCTGATGATATGCATTCCTGCTTTGTATTTTGTGCACTTTCTAAACGCATGAGCAAAGACTCCTGCACCAGCCCTGACTAATAATGGTGATAACAGCAGCTCTCCATTCAGTAAAACTGAAGGCAAACATGCTGACCGACCTTTCATTTGAAACATCCATTTTACTACCACATTTAGGGTGACTGCCTATTCCTGTATGGTTAGGATTGTTGGATTTTATTAAGAATTCCATGTGGTTTTCCTCCTTTGTGATTCTCAAGAGTCTCACCAAAATTAGGTTGCAGACTTCAAGTTATGAACTATTTGATGCCAGATGCAGACCAGTTCATACCCATTGGTCTTCCTCTAGTTCTGAATCAAAACTTCTGGACAGCACCCATAAAACCCTCCTGATTTCTCTGTTTCACTGTGCCAAGGAAGAGTCAACTCTGCACCCTTTTTTATTTTTTTTTAAGATTCTGTTTATTTATTTATTTGGCAGAGAGAGGGAGAGAGCACAAGCAGAGGCCGGGGGGGAGCAGAGGGAGAGGGAGAAGCAGACTCCCTGCTGAGCAGGGAGCCCCACGGGGGGCTCAATCCCAGGACCCTGAGGTCATGACCTGAGCCGAAGGCAGACGCTTAACCGGCTGAGCCACCCAGGCGACCCCTCAACTCTGCATCCTTAACGGGAAGGGAGCAGAGCGGTGAAGTTACCAGGTGATGTGTTTTTCACAGATATGTTGCAAAAGAATCCATGGCTTGGCCCGTGGAATGATGGATATATATCTGTTAACAAAATGACTTGATTTATAGATTTATTACATGACTCTCACCAAGCACATTAATCACACCTGATCTGCACCCAGAAGCAATAGGTCTCAAAGTTTTACCAGCGTCGGGGCGACAAAAGCACAACCAGTCAGAAAACAAAAATTTGGACGAACCCCAGGGGTAACTGTCATTAATTTCATTTTCACAGATTCTTTAATCCATTTAGATTAGGAAAACAAAGATGTTTAAGGCAGAAATCTCCCACAACAGATAACTTAAACATTCCTTTTGCAAACACCAGCAAAGGAGGTAAATGTAACTCAAGTGCCTGTTATGACAAGGGCCTGAAAGTAAGTCTCGCTCTAAACATACCCAGGAATTGCGTCTCTGGGAAGAGCTATCTTCACTCCAGGAAGCTTTCTCAATAAGCAAAACTTGACAGCCCTATTCTAAGGCTGAGTAGTGTCAAATGAGGTAAACAGAGAAAGCATTTTCTTTAAATTATGTTCTATTATTTACAGCAAAGAGAAGGGCCATATGCACCCCAATGTTCATAGCAGCAATGTCCGCAATAGCCAAACTGGGGGAGCCAAGATGCCCTTCAACAGATGAATGGATAAAGAAGATGTGGTGCATATATACAATGGAATATTATGCAGCCATCAGAAAGCCACCATTTGCATTGACATGGATAGAACTGGAGGGGATTATGCTAAGTGAAATAAGTCAAGCAGAGCATTTTTTTTCAAAGCACATTTCATCCAAGGATGCCACATCCTGAAAGGGTTTTTTAACTTTCATTCTAAGGGGGAAAAAAAAAAGCCAAAAAGGTTAAGTGACTTTCCCTGTTGACTGTGCGACATAATAATTAATTAAAAAGTAGGTGTCAAGTCACCAAGTTTAGATCTACAGCATCATTATTAAAGCCTTTTTTTGATGGAAGATAAGGAGGGGAATAAGAAAATAAAAAAGGTACAGACAAATTTATAATAATAAAATAATTAATTTTTATACTATAATACATAAAACAGATTATTGTTATCCCTTCTGTGATTCATAGTTTTGCAGGTTTTATAATATAACCTCTTACAGGGTGCCATATACTACCCTTGGTAGAAAGGGCTGAAATATGTTAACATGCAGAATTGTTTTCGACTCATTAAAACTGTGAGATTGATAGAAGATAATAACTAGACTTTCATATTTAGGATGTTTTGCACACTATACACGGTATGGTTTACTTTTTAATGTTTTCAAGTTTTTATTTTTGAAGATTGTGAACCTTAATAATCATGAATAATAAAAATAAGCTTAGTAAAATTTGCCAATAATTGGAAAATTAATAATTAATAGCAAGCTATTATGTGGCAAATTAAATCAGACTTTCTAGGAAAAAGAATCAGAAGTATCACTTTTTTAGCAAGATGCTAATAAGAATACGTTTTATGGGGGCGCTTGGGCAGCTCAGCCGGTTAAGCGGCTGCCTTCAGCTCAGGTCATGATCCCAGGGTCCTGGGATCGAGTCCTGCATCAGGTTCCCTGCTCCGTGGGAAGCCTGCTTCTCCCTCTCCCTCTGCCTGCCGCTCTGCCTACTTGTGCTCTCTCTTTACTCTCTGTCAAATAAATAAAAATCTTTAAAAAATATATATATATATGTTTTATGTATACTCATCTTTCTAAAGACCTTTTCAGAATAATATTACATAGTAATTAACAGGCTGCATTCAGCACTCACATCTCCTTTTGAAACATCTTACTCAAATCAATATTCTTTCTTAACTATAATTAGCACAGCACCTGAGACAGAGTAGGCACTTGATCTATTTTAATTAGATTCTAAAACTGGTTTTCAAATGATTTTGTGTTTTATAATTTTGTTTTATAACTAGACGGCTCAACAGCAGACATGGCCTTCCATTAATATTTTAACTGAGTTCATTGAGTTCACTAGCAATCTGATCATATCTGAGTAAAATGATAAAATTTAGATTTTAAGCCACCCAGGCCTAGAAATAGATCCTATGACAATTCATCAATAGATACGCAGCCCTTGAAGTCCTGCCCAAACAGCAGGCTGAATATATCCATTTCTTCAGCAAACAATAAAGTCCTGTATACTTTAACTAGGGGCTTTCCACACTCTTTAAAGAAGTAACCAAATTGACAGGATAGGATAGGAATTGATAGGGCCCTTGTTGACCTTCCTTCCTTCTTTCCTCCCTTCCTTCCTTCCTTCCTTTCTTCCTTTCTTCCTCACTTCCTCGCTCTTTCTTCCCTTCTTTTCTTCCTTCTCTCTGGACAACAAAACATATTAAAACAAGTGAAGATTTAAAAAAAAAAAAAGAGTGAAGATAATGGAGACCATGTTCTAGTCCAAACTGAAAAAAATGAGCAGCAAGTAGGAAAAACAAATAAAGACATGGCACCATGAACCTTCTTCACTGAAACTGGCCAAAACTCCAATGGATACTTAAGGAAAAACCCTCAGGTCAAAGTGGAGAGTCTTAAGTATATCTTTCAGTCAACATATAATTCTGCAACAGAAATTTACTCATGAAAATTGTGACCTGGAAGGAAGGAAACAAGCAGAAGTTGATGAATATAGAAGTGTACGCTAACACAACATTCAAGAAGTAAACTGTAAACTTCAGAATAGAAGGAGACCATAAGATACTAAATTATTGTTGATCAGAAAGTCCATGTCAACTGGAGTAATATTTGTGCTGAAGAAAGCTTTGACAGAATACATAAACTACCTTCCTGAAACAGAACTGAATACAATGCTTTAAAGATTAATAAATAAATGTAAAGCTAATTCTAAAAATATCTGGTCATCAGATCCCTCCACAGAAAGATGTCCAAAAGATCAGTTGACTTCATTGCCCGAAACTGGTGGATTATATTACCTATGCCTGATAATTAAGCCAAGAACTTTCTCTTCTAAATTTAGTCAAAGGAAGTGCCGAAAATAAACTTGTGCCTCTAGATAATCACCCGTTTGCTTCTAGTACAGCAGCTGAGTTTTCTGGAAGTACATCTGTCTTTGATCTGAGCTCTGGTATAAATCATTATTATGATGTTATCAAGATGACCCTTCTTTTTAGCCCTTTTCCTGTGAAAGGTGGAACACATAATTACCTCTTGACCAAGGAGGTGGGGCAACAAGCTGAAGATTTCAGACTTGCCTCCTCTGGTAATATGGGACTGAGAGATAAAGGAAACTACATGTCTCCCATCTGGATACCTGGGCTTCTTCACTGACGCACAGTGGCTAAAACATTGCTTCACCCACTCACCCAGTGTGAGTGATAAATGTCTAATCCCCTACCAAAAAAGGAGTAGAGAGACCAACTGCCCCGGTTTGTCTGGGACTACCCAGAGTTTAGCACTGAAAGTCCCA